TGAAACTACTATCAATCTTAACATCACACACCAAAAAAGAGCAACCATATGTTATATGCCTCCTGATATGATGCAATAGAAAGCATACAACACCACCTATGAAATATTCTTCCCAAAAAAACAAAAATCAAGACTGTGTAAGCCTCTAGATCTAACTACTGGTTTACAGGAAAAAAAGGAGAGAGAGTAACATATTTAAGAACACCTAGGATGCAATCAGCAAAATCCTGAATGTAGGTGTGCAGAAAAGAGTTAATGTAGCAGGCCTGAAACTACTATCCATCCTTAGAAAAGCCTGTTTATAAGGTTGGACCTTGGCTGGTGTCTGGGATTTAAATGTCATTAGGGTTCCCACCATTTCCAGAATTGATAGAGTGCTCAATGTGCCTAAATCATACAATGTGATTTATGCCAAACACCTGCTCCCCTTCTGAGAGTCTGGAATTTTGGTACATGTCAGGCACAAGATGCCTACATAAGCAGCCTCCAATAAAAACCCTGGGCACTGAATCTCTAGTGAGCTTCCCTTTTAAACATTTCACACGTGTTGTCACAATTCATTCCTGAGGGAATTAAGCACATCCTGTGTGACTCCACTAGAATAAGATTCTTAGAGGCTTGTGCCTGGTTTCCTCCAGATTTAGCCCCATTCGTCGTTTCCCTTTACTGGTATTGCTTTGTACCCTTTTGCTATAATAAATCATATCTGTGAATATAACTATATGCTGAATCCTATGAGTCCTCCAAGTGAATCACTGAGCCTGGGGGTGGTCTTTGGAATCCCCAACACAGTGGGAAACTTTACAGATTAATAAGCCGATTTCTTCAACAGATAAAGTATACAAGAAAAAAAAGAGGGAAAACTTATAAAGAAATGTAATAATAAATGTTTCATTTTAATATTTTGTTGCAGTTCCTGTGACTAAAGATGGCACTGACTGGAAAAAAATGTAAATTTGTGATTCAAAAACAATATACTTAAAAGAAATTTAAATAAACTTCCAAATAATTGTTGTACAAGTCTGTGACATTTATACTCTTGAAGTCATTCAAATTCAAAACTGCACTAAGACTTTTGGGACATCCTGTATAAATAAGCTAAGTTTAACTCAAGAAGAATATTAAAAACCTGAATATATTCATGAACATCAAAAAAATTAAATCAGCAGTCCAATATCTATCCACAAGAAAGCATCAGGCCAAGGTTGTTTATAGACAAGTATTACCAAATGCTAAAGAAACAGATAACCCTTATTTTAAACAAGATAGTCCAGAAAAAAGAAAAATAGAGAAAGTTATTCAGCTCATTTTATAAGGCTAGTATAATCTTTATGCACAAAATAACAAAAACTGTATAAGAAAAAACTATAGGCCAGGCTCATTTACTAACATAGACTAAAGAAATTCTACACAAAATATTAGCAAATTTCACCATTTAATTACACAGAGTGTGTGTCTATGCATACATACATGTGTCTACATAACTACATCATAATTAAGTAAGGTTTAGCGTAGGAACTCAAGGATATGCCAACACTTAAAAACCTGTTAACATAATTTGCCACATCAACATATTTAAGGAGAAAAATCATATGATCTTTTAAAAAGATACAGGAAAAAATTCAACATCCATAGATTATCTTTTATTAAGAACCTCTTATCAAGCTAAAAATATAAGGAAATTTCCTTAACTTGATATTTAATAGTAAATCTTTAAAAGCATTTACTTTAAAGTCAGAAACAACATTAGAATGTTTATTACTTACTGCTTCTATTCAACTTTGTACCTGAAATCCTAACCAATTTAAAAAGTATTAAAAATATGGGTCCTGCCCAGTGGCGCAGCGGTTAAGTTCGCACGTTCCACTTCTCAGCGGGCCAGTGTTCGCTGATTCCGATCGGGGGCATGGACATGGCACCACTTGGCAAAAGCCATGCTGTGGTAGGCGTCCCACATATAAAGTAGAGGAAGATGGGCATGGATGCTAGCTCAGGGCCAGTCTTCCTTAGCAAAAACAGGAGGATTGGCAGTAGTTAGCTCAGGGCTAATCTTCCTCAAAAAAAAAGTATTAAAAATATAAAGATTGAAAATAGTCATTATTTGCAAATAATATGATTACATAGAAGATCCAGGAGAATCTACAAATTGTCAAAACTAGTAAGACAGTTCAACAAGTTTCTTGGATACAAGACCAATATACAAAAATTTTAATAGCATTCCTATACACAAGCAACAATCAAGTAGAAATGTAATAAAATATCTCATTCACAATAGAAAGAAAATTATAATGTACCTAAGAATATATCTAACAAAATCTGAGTAAGACCTCTACAAAGCAAATTATAAAACTTTATTGTCAGCTATAAATGGAAACACAAATGAATGGTAAGATATACCATGTTGGTGGATGGAAAGACTGAGTTTCATATAAATGTCTGTTCTCACTACATTACTCTATAAATTCATTTTCAATAGAAATCCCATGAGAGTTGTTAACAGAACTTGATAATATGACCCTATAATTCACATGTGAGAGAACAGACTGAATTTTGAAGAAGATGAACACGATGTGAAGAGTTATCCTAACAGCCATCATCCTATTATAAAGCTTTGATAATTTAGATGGCATGATACTGGCAGAGAGAAAAGTGAATCAACCACACAGAACAGAGAACCCAGAAACACATCCATCTATATACAGAAATTTGGTAGATGAAAAAGTTGGCAATATAAATCACTGAGGAAAGGAGAAACTATTTCAAAAATGATGCTGAGAAAGTTAGTTATACATATGGGGAAAAAATTAGATCACTGTCTCACAAAATAAATCCCAGGTGGATTTAAAAAACCTAAATCTAGAAAGCAAAATTATAACATTTTTAGAAGAAAAAGCAGGAAATTAACCATATGGCATCAAAATAGGAAAAGTTTGCTTAAGTAAGACCCAAAAAGTACAAGCATTAAAGAGAAAGGCTAAACATTTTTACCCAATAAATTCTAAAACTTCTATGCATCAAGACACCATAAACAAAGTAAAAAGGCAAGCCACAAAACGGGACAAGTTTATAACACATATAACCCAAAATGAATTATTATAAAGAACTCCTAAATCAAAAAGAAGAAAAACATTTTAAGAAAAAAAGGAATGTGAATAGGCAATTCACAGAAAAGGAAATCCAAATGGCCAATAAACCTATGAAAGGTTGTTCATTCTCACTAAATATTAGGGAAACGCAAATTAAAATAAAATAACATTTGACACTATAGTCTAATAATACTGAGTATCAGCAAATGTATGAGGAAAAGGAAATCTTATGCACCCTGCTGGTTGAAGCATAAATTGGTATAGCTACTTTAGGGGATGATTTGGCCCTATTATGTAAAGTTGATAATGATTACAACCAACAAATGCACACCCTAAAGTAACTTTCACACATGTGTGTAAAGAAACAAGCATAAAAGTGCTCATTGTATCATTATTTTAACATTTAAAACTGGAAATAGCCTAAATGTCCATAAATCAGTGTGTCATTGTAGATAAATCTCAAAAACATAATGCTGAGTGAAAAAAACAAACTCTAGAATATGAACAGTATGATACCATCTGTATGAAGTTTAAGAATATGCAAACAATGGGATATATCAGAACTTCCTGCAATGATGAAAATGTTCTGTATCTGTACTGTCCAATACAGTAACCTAAGCCACATGTGGATATTGAACATTTGTAAAGTGACTAGTGCTCCTGAGGAACTGTATATATTTTATTTTAATTAATTTAAATTTACATAGCCAGATGTGATTAGTGGCTACCATATTTGCAGAGCAGGTATATATAATTTATGGGTACATACATACATAGAAATATAAAAACTTGGAGGAAAAATACACACCAACTTCAGGATAGTGGATACTTCTGGAGAAGTGAAGTGGGCCAGAATGAGATGTGAAGGGATTCAACAGTCTCTGTAACCTTTTATTTCTTTCAAACAACACAAATACATAAAGCAAATATATCAAAATACTAATATTTGTTAAAATTGATTAGTCTGTTTTTCAATATATTTGAAATATTTTCCAATTTAATTTTGCTAATATTTCCTACTTTAAATGTTCCATTTTACTTTCTTTGAAATATTTACTAATTTAATTCCTCTTTTTCTTTTTTTTTTTTTTCTGTTGAGGAAGATTAACCCTGAGCTAACATCTGTGCCAAGCTTCCTCCTTTTTTGCTTGAGGAAGATTAGCCCTGAGCTAACATCCATGCCAATCTTCCTCCACTTTATACGTGGGTTGCCACCACAGTATGGCTGACGAGCAGTGTAGGTCCATGCCTGGGATCTGAACCCGCAAGACTAGGCCACCGAAGCACAGTGCACTGAACTTAACCACTACGCCATGGGACTGGCCCTTAATTTAAATTTTTAAATAACTTTTTGAAAGTAAATAGTATTTAAATCTTTATCATACCTGTAAAGCTAAACCCAGGGGATCAACTATCATATGTATAGTCTCAATTAATACTTATAACATTGAGAAAAGCAGAAAACAGAGCAAAAACTGTGATATAATACACTTGTATAGTTCCTAACTTACGCGATTTTTACAATTAATTTTCAAAGGCCCAACAAAGATATTTCAAAAATGTGTTATTTTACTTAGATTCTAAGTATAATAAGTGGAGATGACCATGTGTTTATCTCATAGATAAATTAGAACTATTAAAAATATATTAAACAAAATACTGAGAACAGTACTGGACCAGGGGTCAAGGCAGCTTATATTAACTTTCTAGTACCAGTTTATATTAACTTTCTGGGTTCTATTCACCTAAGTTTACTCATTTGTACAGGATGAACTAGAGAGTCTCTGAATCCACTGTTAATTTTTTTAAGATTGGAATTTTTTAATCAAGTTTCATTTCTTCTTTCAAATACATACATAATAAGTTATTTAGAATAATCATTGCTTTGTATCAAAGTGCCAAAAATCTGCATACCTGAAATCCAAATTCCTTTACTGCTGTCTGAATCCTACCTCTCGTTGTCCATAAAATAGACAGAAAAAAGAGAAAAGAGAGTAAATACAGGATCAGCCAGTCAGTGATCCACGGCTCTCAAAGAACCTCATTTTTCAAAGGTTGATTTTCTTGTGAATATCCCAGGATCCTCAATAGAAAATGTAATTCTCTATATAAGTTGCATCTTTGCTCACATGAATGTTTTTAACTCACAAAAATTTAAAACTTAGAGTTTCAATGTATATTTATGTTTCATTTTATAAAAATATTTAAAATCTTACTAAGAAAGAAAGACAAATACAACTACTCACACATATAACACTAGCCAGAGATCTCAGTTCACTCTGTTCTCCCCATGTCGTCATGCATCCAAAGAATGTGGAAGAATTGGGTCTCTATGCTTTTCATCCACACAATTTTCAGTCACATTACTAAGTGCAGGACAGAAATGAGCAGAGGAGAGAAGTTTGACTGTTTATGATCTGTTCTAACTAATCTGCATGACTGTTATTAAACGGGGAAGCTTTGGGGTTAAGTTATTTTGGATGGTGATACAAATGGCAGAAAATGACAGTATTATTTCCTACTTTTTATTTTGTGGCAAAATTACTGAGACATTTCTGACCTCTATCACCTTTCATAAAGTATGTATAGAACTTAAAAAATGTCTCCTGTGATTAACTTCCCAACCTTGATAGGGGGGAGGAAAGTATTCTTACTGAACATAAGTACTTTGTTTTTTAGCACAAGTGAAAACTCAAATTTGGAGATTGCAAGGATTGAGAATTAGGGAACAGAATACCCCCTACTCAAAGGAGGAAAAAGCATTTTATGGTTCATTAATCCTAATTACAACAGTTGATCCTCATGGAGACCACCATAAACCAAGAGTTTACAGATAAGATTACAGCGCATTTGAGTATATAATTACAATGCAATTTGAAACACTCAACTTTTCTTTCATGTTCTATTATATATTCAAAGCCAGGATAACACTGCTAGATGTTAAACACAGGGCTACTTAAAATACTTTTTTTAAGTCCAAAGATTGAGAGAGAAGAGAGAAAAAAGTATTTTCAGCTTGTTATTTCTAGTGTTAAATATTCTATACCAAATACTAAACATGCAATAAATTGTTACTCTTTGATAAATCTAAATTGAAAATAGCCAAACGAGAGGAAAAAAAATGAACACAAATGGCACTATCCTCATGATTAAAATATACAACCCAAAGGCATACATTTTTCTTCTCCCAGCTTCCAACCCAAGGGATTTTTACCTCCAATACCCACTAAAAAGTGAAATTCATTCAGGTTGCTCTCTGACGGATGAAGTGAGAGGTGCTGCATAACGCTCTGCTGCAAACTCAGGGCCAGTTTCCCTGCAAACTGAAGAAAGGCTGACAGTGTATAAGCTCTGAGATTATTTGTAAACTACCCATCATTCAGTAATCAATAAGAATTTAAATATTATTAAAATATCTCTTTTATTCCATTTAAGCAGGAGAAATATTTTAGTTGGGGCAATTCTTGTTGACATATTCAATTAAATACTTAGGAAAGCAGAACTAACATTATACAACAGAATAATTAGGAATCAAAAATGCTAAATAATTAATTTTAAGAAACTTTTAGCTTATATTTAGGCTTTGATTATGAAAAAGTACAGAGAAGGGAAATATTATTTTATAAAACTGAAAGTCTTCTAATTTTTAAGTTTCTCATAAGTTCTGCAATTCAAACAACAGTATTAATACTTCATGTAACAAAGCAAAACTGAGAAATTTAAAGTGAAACTAATGGGTTCCCCTTAGAAAGTTAAATTTCAAAAAACTAAAAACATCAATGAAAAAATAATATAAATTCTTAATGTTTCCATTAATATCTTAGGAAAAGAGTTTTATTTTAGCTGGCTTCATAGTTTCCAAAATTGTATTTTCCTACTTTTCAAGGCAAAGAAATACTGTATATAAGAAAGTGACATGTGTAAAAAGATAATTTAACATACAGATTTATTCCACCAATTCCAAGCATATAAAATAAAACCATGGGGTTTTTCTCTAACACTTCAGTTTTTTAATTTAACATTAGTTTTATAATCTATTTCACATAATTCTCTATTACATCAAATTTAAGTCCATCTAGCCAATGGAAAATTACTCCCGCTCATAGTTTTATCAAAACTCTTACACTAGAACTCTGTGATATATAAGATACATGTAATAATGTTGTTATTGATTGCTAAGGGTATTTTCCCACTTCTTTTTATCATTCAAACATGTATCTATCTATTACTTTTTCTATTTCCCTCAAATGTTGTGTATTCTCATAAGACCACATACCTCTCCTTAGTATTTATGACTATTTTAATCTTAAATTTAATTCCAAAATCATCTGATTAACGTTCATTTCCTCCACTAGACTATAAATAATTGTAATTTACTCCTATTTTATCTTCAGCATCTAGCAGAGTGTCTGACTTAGAGTAAACGGTCAATAAATATATGAACATTGAGTGACATTAACAACATATTGTTTCTTTTACTTTTAGAAAATCTCTCCTATCTGTCCTATATAAATTGGGCCTCAATAAATAGGTGATTGAATGGAGATAATGCTAGAAGATCTCCTTAAAGTGCAGCTGTGCATCCAAAAAATATACCATTTTTATCTCTGTGGTAAACGAATTTTGTCTCTTTAATCTATAGTTAAATTTAAGGTAATAAACTAAAAACAGAATGCTTCCTTATCAATATCTATTCCCAGTGAAGATTTCAATGATCTCTTGAAAAGGCACATAATAGGAACAGAAACTAATAATCATGAAACCAAAAAACTGATGATCAAGTTTTCATAATTAACATGGTCAAATACTGGAGCCAGGAAAACTAGCTTGTACAAGGCACAACTAACAGCACAAAAGCTAATGAATGAACAAAGTTTTCTCTTCAAAAGGAACTACTCCATAGTATGCCTAGTGCAGTATTTTGGTATACCCAGACACAATGTATATATGCGTTGCCTGTAAATATACTACACACAAACACACACACACACTCAGAGTATTTCCATATGTAGTATACAGGTAAACAACAGGGTCAAAGAGTAAGATTACGAGATTCTAGAGCTGAAAGAAATTTTAAATATAAGAATATCCATGACCTGAAATCTGTGTCCTATTTAAACTTCTCTCTAATCTTCTAATGACAATAAGACAAAGCAGTTGACCTTTTTGGAGTATTCCCATCCTACCTAATAAAGATTATGGTTGGTATCTCTCATACGAATGCTAGTAAACAGAAATAATAAGTAGCTTAATTTGTGCTTTTTTTCTTTGTACCCTTTCTCATTCTAAAGAAAGTATTATAGGTGGTATATCTAACAGCACTTTACAATTTACAAGGCATTTTAACACAAATTCTCATTTAAGCTACACAGCAACTTTGTCAGTTACACGACTAAGTAGCATTAGCCCTACCTTACAAATGAGGACACTCAGGGCAAGAGAAGCTAAGTGAATTGTCAAAGACACAAAACTATTAAGTAGAAAAGCCAGGACTGTAACCCAGACGTTCTGACTCTTCATCTTTTCACTGCACCACAAACAGTAATGTCAAGTTAGAGATACACATTTGAAATGCATAGCAGCAATACTAAGTATTAAACTAGTAGTATACCTCTGTGACGTTCAGAAACTAGAACAGAATAATCTGAGTCCTTCATATCATTAAAGAAGAGATCTCACTATTTTCTTTAGAATTATTACATTTCTTTCACTGTACAATGCACTAGTTAACAAAAGATTCACTAGAATGGCACCTGTCTACCAAACTAGAAAAAAAAAACCTGGTAGCAGATTTACTCAATTACACAGTTAATACAAACCATTATGTGGCCTGTTTATAAAAGAATATAATGGGAATATTTTCTTGAATCTCTCACTGATAGAATGAAATCTTTTCAATTAATTCACATTATTATTTTATATATACTTCTTACAAAGTATATTTACTCTGTTTTATTTTTCCTCTCCCTAAAACTCTAGAAGTTTTAGAAAAACTTCTAATGCTTCTAAAATGGAATAAGTAATTGCTTGATATCTTCTTGCTAACTCTTTAAAGTGTTGTACAGCTGCTAATGTATGTTTGTGCTGGCATTGCAGAGTGGAGCCTTGGGAATACGAAATCCGATTTCAGAGAAACCAGAGCTTAGTTCAAAGAAAAGAGCAACTCTCTCCAGCTGATAAGATTTTTCCTGAAAGAAAACAACCACCAAGTAAGAAACACACTGGTAATATCTCCCTGTTAGTCCTCTACAATCCTTCTCAAAACTTTTTTTTTCATTTATTTGATTACATACTTCCATTTCACATTTTCTCCTGTGATGGTTTATTTTTTGTTAGCTTATTTGTTTACTGTAGGTTTCAGAGTGTGATCCCATTGTTTCAAAGAACATTGAATTAGATATTTAAGACAAAAAAAATCAGCTACATAATTGCAGAATATCCTCAAAAATCTCAACAGAAAGAGAAACAAATGTAAGACATATGAAGTACGTACTTTTGTTATAGATTTAGAACTGGGCAATAATAATTAGGTAAGTTATTTTCATACACTCATGCCATAAAACTTAAATGTCATAATTAATCAAGTTTATATTCTTCTTTTCAGAAGAGATGCACAAAAATAAACAAATTGGTGACCAAGACTTTTTCCCCATATTCTGGGAAAGACCGGGTTAAAGCAGGAAGAATGACACTGTGTGGGTGAATTACTACATAACTTTTTGTAGTTTACAAACCTGAATAAGTTTCAGCTATGGGGAAAAAAGGAAAAGAAACATTCATTAAAGGACTTCTACAATATATTACAGGCATAAAATGACCTTTGAAGTTTGGGCTCATGAGTTTTGCAAAATTGGGTTTATGATAAATATTAGTTAGTAATATGATACAGACCTAGTAGTAAGTAGACCTAGTGTCTCTAGAGCTGAGGCTATGTGGAAACAGTAAAAACAGTACCGAGCTATTCTTTTCAATACGTTATTGAACTGATGGATTTACGATTTGTAGTGTATTAGAGTACTATAATCCTGACTTTATATTTGTATGGAAGCTTACAGTTCAAAATATTTTCACATAGATGACTTCATTCAATCTTCCCAATAACCCTCAAAACGCCATTTTACAGAGGAGAAAACAGAGACTCAAAAAGACAGTGATTTTCCAAAGATCACGTAATTTCAGAAGTAGGATATGAACCAGATCTTTTCACTCCAAGACAACACATCTGTCTTCATCTGTACTTTAGTTTCTTTATCTTTAAAATAGGAACCATTTTATCTATATGATGCAGGTTTTCATTTACTCCTCAAATATTCAGTGACCAATTACATGACAGGCAAGATTAAATGACATGCATATTGAAAGTATTTTTGACACTGTATAAAAACAAAAACAAAACATCCACACACATATGTAGGGTGGTAGCAGTAAAAAAACTGGTCTGGGCTTAAAGGGGATCAATATCAAAGCAGATAATTTAACCCATAGTACTATGCTTCTGCGGGCTCCCTGCAATACGCATCTGAGAAATCATAATACAGGCTGCTGCAGAAATCTATTAAAGGAGATTTAAAGTAGATTAAAATTGTCTAGTAGACCGTTAAAAATTTTAAATTAAACAAAAAAGTCACTACTTAAGTGACGTCTTTCTCTAGCATTAGGATTTAATGTCAGCATGTAAAGAAAATTTGCATATGGTCAAAATCCTTTAGGGCAATGGCACACTGAAGGCATACTTTCTCTCACAGCCAGTTATCTTTTTTCTTTGGCTGGGTACCAGATGAATTAGTTGCCTTGCATTTCATATTGTATTAAAAATATGAATGCTTTTAAACCCTAGAACCACACTCACTCCAGCACACATAAAGGAACTGAGACTGACAGGCACAGAAGATGCATGTTTCACATTCACTCCCAGCACACATTCATTGAGTGGAATATTGTAACTTCTCTCTTTGCCCAAATCTGCATAAATCTATTTAAGTAAGGTAAATGTACAATGTGACTCCATTGTGTAAGTCACTAAAATAAAAAACATGAAGATATATATCCATACTAATATTCACACATGTGTAGAAATAAAGATATACTCAAAAAACTGCCCACATTTCATGATGCTGAGAGGACCCTTAATTTCTATTTCAACACTGTATATTTTGGCATTAACTTGTTAGTTTATATATCATGTCCATTAAAGAATATGAAAGTATACCTAAATGTATATTAAAATTTCCAAAGAAAGTCCCCCTAAAACAATGCTTTCTATTTAGACATACATGTTAGAGCCCCATGTCTGCTGCTGTTGCCCACTAGTTCTTAATGTTTG